TCATTGCGCTGTTAACAGATTTATATGTTGTCTCTTCAACTGGCAATTTTTTAGAATTTGATAGTTGATTGAATTGACATGCACATTTTTGGTGCCAGTATTGCGCGTTCTCTCAACCAATCGTGTTACAGGTAATTTTGAGCAAAATTTGGAAACACGCATTCAATCAATTTTTCTTTTAATTGGAGAATTGTACAAAAATTCTTCGGCAATGTAATCAAGCCATTTGTATTATCGATTCGAACTTTGCCATTTCCGATCTCTAACAATTGCTTCGAGAACCGATCTTCAAATCGATTATTGTGCAACTGAACACGAATGTTTATGTGTAATGTAAATTTTTGCACATATCGCCACAGAGGGGAAGACTTCAAGCATGCATTGATCTCATCTGCCGGTGTTGATCGTGGAATCACGGGCAATGTTTGTTGAAAGTTACCTGGCAATAATACCAAAGCACCACCAAAAAGCTGCTGATTTCCACGTAAATCCTGCATTGTGTTGATTCTTCAAAGTCCAAAATAGAAAGACCGAATATCAATGTACACCACCTATTCGATAATACGATGAAATGACAGATATATTGTGTTGTGGTGACTTTCATTCCATTGGCTCTACAAAATCCCTATTGAAAAATTTGCAGCCATGTTTATATTTGACTTAATAAAAACAGCACATTATAGCAACAATTTTCCACTACGTTTTGAAACGTTTCGTACGAAATGATGCAACAAATTTGTGCAAAATTATTGAAATAAATTCAATTTATTGTATTGATTTTTTTGAGCTCAAGGCCGGGTTGAAATAAAACAATCTGTTTTTGTTGTTTTTAAATCGTATATGTTAAAAAAAAATCAAGTACTAATTGAGAACTATATTGCAGCCATGTTTATACTTGACTTAATTTATCCGAAGAAAAAATAAAGACAGCACATCATAGCAAGAATTTTTCACTGGCTGCATTTCTTTATTCATTCTGAACGTTTGGAATAAGCTTTTTTGTTTATTTATTCTTTAGAACGTTCCTGTTGATATGTTGACGTATATTTCAAACGCATTCTGTTTATTCCGGCTGTGAAATGGGATTATCCGGAATGTATAAAGAAACGCAGCCACTATGTTTTCGATTTTTCATGTATCTGCTGTTGTACCATATACGTGGTTCACGTGACAGACATAAACTGTCATATATCATGAACCGCTGGACCGAATTCGGGCACACTTCACATAACCCATCTGCATGATAGTCCGAATATACCGTTTAAATTTGGTATAATTCGTGCACTTATTTTTTTATTTAAGATGGGGAGTATGGAATTATTTCATATGTCTCTATACCAATTCGAGTAATCTACCACAAATATTTCAAGAGATATACCAGATGAAAATTTTTGTTAGTATGGGTGGTGCCATACCCCCTTTTCCGAATTCGGGGAAACCTTACACAAACCATCTGTATAATAGCCCGACTATGCCATATAAATTTGGTTGAAATCTTGCACTTCTTTTTTATATATAACATGGGAGGTGCCACGCCCTCTTTTCCAATACCGCCCATTTTTCTCCATGAGTATGGAATTATTATTAAAAACTTTAGTTAGTATGGGAGGTGCCACACCCCCTTTTACGAATTCGGGCAAACTTTACATAAACCATCTGGATGATAGCCTGAATATGCCGTATAAATTTGGTTGAATTCGGTGAAGCCGTTATCAAGTTATAAGCTCCCACCAAAAACGTGTACTTATTTTTATACATAAGATACATATGCCACGCCCACTTTTCCGAATTTGGGCAAACTCCACATAAAATATCTGCATGATGGCCCGAATATGCTTTATGAATTTGGTTGAATTCGATTAAGCCGTTCTCAAGTTATAAGCTAACTCACTAATTTTTATATATAAAATACAGGTGCCACTCCTCCTTTTCCGAATTCGGGAAACCTTCGCATAAACCATCTGCATGATAGATCGAATATGCAACATAAATTTGATTGAATTCGGTGAAGCCGTTCTCAAGTTATATGGTCACAACAAAACCGTTCTCTTATTTTTATATTTTAGTTAGTATGGGTGGTGCCACGCCCCCTTTTCCGAATTCGGGAAAACTTCGCATAAACCATCTGCATGATAGATCGAATATGCAACATAAATTTGGTTGAATTCGGTGAAGCCGTTCTCAAGTTATGAGGTCACACCAAAAACGTGCACTTATTTTTATATATAAGATTTTTGATATTTGTATAAAGGCGTGGGGTGAAACCCGCGGGTAAAAGCTAGTGTTTAATAAATTAGAAAAAATACCATTTTGCAAAAATGGGATCCAAAGGACCAAGGAAAAACTATGGGACCAGTTTAGATCCAAATGGGCCAAATGAAACAACCGTGCATATACCTACGAAACTATGCATAATCTCCATAAATCGAAATTTCTAGAGATATGTCTATATGTGTATTGATTTTGAGGTTACGTTTATTTATTATATTTAACTAGTTATATTGTTTTGATTGTTTCTGGTTATTTTCAGACCTCTACAAATCAGCAGGATGGGCACAGTATTAAGTTTTAATCCAAGAGAACGTCATCCATTTTATTCATCGCAATCTAGCATTCAATATAATCAGCAGTCTGACATTCGAAATGAATACATACTTGAAGGCCCATGCTTAATGGACTCACATTTAAATAATTTTTGTTATGAGCAGTTGAATAACGCAAAAAATCAAGAATCTAAACAAAGCATTCGTGCTCCACTTGCCAAAAATGGGTGTGGAAGAATAAATTTGGGCAACCAAAGTCACATGACTAGTTATAGTTTCAATAAATTGAAAGACACTAAGGATGCAATTAATAATGACCTAGATTCACATAATGAAAATGCTGCTCTTTTTACAGGAAAAAATACTATAGAAAAAAGTATGAAAAAGCATTCAATTTTTATTAGTGCATTATCTTGGAAAAAACTGGCTGCATCTCACAATAAAAAGAAAATTGAAAATAAAACCAAATGCGGGAATATACCTCCAGGCTGTTTTAAAACTCATTCCTTAGATCCAGCCAGCACATCGTATACGGATAAAAATAAAAACGTCCGTTTGAATTTTAACCATATTAACGACAGCCAACTTATAACTTCGAATCAAGACGACTCTCATTCATGTAATACTCTCTTTTCAAACTCAAGAAATAAAAGACAAATAACATCACAGGACCTTGTTAGAATAAATACCACTAATTTTAATAAACACAACAAATTGATTCAAAAAGAGCCGCTGGCTTTATCGTTACCGCCGCAATCAAACACAGTTCAAAACAAGAACATTCCGAGGAAAACGGTAATTCAGGTAAGGTGGATAAACGAATGAATGTATGTACATAATAATAATAATAATAATATCCCAACGGTTTTTACCCTCCATTCCCGCCCATCCGCACGAGGGGCGCAGTCCGCATGACGTACGGAACCAATATTTTAAATTTTTGTGCCGAGTCACGATAGGCATGAGTTTGTTAAGTGTCGAGATCTAAAACTGTTCAGCTACAGAACTAAATTCATCAAATTATTTTATGTATTTATGTCAATAATTCACTTATTGAGAGAGGAGAGTATCGCTTTCTTAATGCTGAAAAGCGGATCTGATATATCAAACGTGCTGGAATGAGAGTTAAAATTCTGGCATAAGCAACGGAGTGGGTCGTGCAATTCAAAATTGGTTTTACAAGCTTTCAGAAATATGGGACAAAAGTGTCTTGATACGCGTGAGGGAACATTAAAGCTTACATCAGCCAGAAGAGACGGACTTGAAATTGAGCCTGTCAGTAATTTAACCATAAAAATTATACCAAGCATTTCCCTGCGACTGGCAAGTGTAGGAAGGTTAATAAGTTTTAAGCGACTCGTTTAAGGTGGAAGACTATATTGAGAATCCCATCGGAAATTTCTTAAAGCAAAAAGTAGGAATTGTTTTTGAATTGATTCTATCTTGTCTGAGTAAATTTGATACCTTGGATTCCAAACTACCGAGCCGTATTCCAGAATCGGCCTAACTAATGTTGTAAACAGGGTTTTAGTGATATAAGGGTCACTAAATTCTTTTGACCGTCGTTTCACAAATGCAAGTAGCCTTGTTGACTGTCACATTAATGTGAAGATTAAAATTAAGCTTAGGATCCATTGTGATACCAAGGTCCACAAAATTGTATACCTGTTCCAGGTTATGGTTACCTATTATATAAGAAACTGGCAGAACAGCTCTTCGCAAGAAGCACATTACTTTACATTTCTTAAGATTTAGAGGCATAAGATTTACTTTACACCAGTAAGCCATGCTGTTTAAGTCTGATTGTAGCAAAGACCTTTCTTTAATTGAAACGTACGATTTATAAAGTTTTACATCATCTGCATACATTAAAATTTTGGAGAATTTTATATCTGTAGAAATATCGTTTATAAAAAGCAAGAACAGAATCGGGCCTAGGTAGCTACCCTGAGGGACTCCTGAAGTAACATCAATGACGTCAGAGATAGTATTTTTAAACAATACCCTTTGTGATCTATCATAGAGGTATGAAGAGATCCAACGTAGAAAATTATGTGGAAGACCAAGGAGATCAAGTTTATAGATGAGCAACGAGAGGCACACTTTGTCAAATGCTTTACTGAAATCAGTGTATATAACATCAACAGTTTTGCTCCCACTAAATGCTTTTGAGATATAGGATGTTAATTCAAGTAAATTTGTAGAAGTTGATTTGCCCTTGCAAAATCCATGTTGACTGTATGAAATGCTTGAAGTGATAGAATGCGTCAACCGATTTGTTATAATTGCTTCAAATAATTTAGAAATTGCAGAAAGCTTAGCTATGCCCCGGTAGTTCTCCACTGAAGACCTGCTACCGCTTTTATGTAAGGGGGTTATGAACGATTCCTTCCATACAGTTGGAAAAACGCCCTCTTTAAGAGACAAATTAAATAAGGCTGTTAACGGCTTATAGAGATAATCAGCACAATTTCTAAGAAAAAAAGTGGGGATCTGGTCAGGACCATAACTAAAATACTGCTTTAAGGACTTCAGGTAAACTAAAACATCATCGGGGGATATTATAGGGTTATGTATTGAGTTAATTGGACTTAGTTTAAAAGGATAGTCAAAGTATGCTTGGGAGTTAGTGGAATAATTGGATTAAAAAAACTGAGCGAACATGTTAGAAAATTATTGATTATCACCAGAGACGGTATTTTGATACTTCATGACGGAAGGAAACCCACGTACATTTCGCTTGGAGTTTACGAAATCATAAAATGATTTGGGGTTATATATTATACGTCTTTTGATTTTACACAAGTAATCTTTATAACACTTTTTGTTTAATTCAAAGAACTTGTGACGCAAAAGTGAGTATTTTACATAGTATGAGTGTAAGCCGGTTTTTTTTGTGTAATCTAAAATAACGTGACTTTCTGTTTTTCAAGTTTCTCAGTTCTTTAGTGAACCATAACTGTGTTTGTTCTTCAGGAACACACATGCGTTTAGGCCAATGATGGGCAAAACGCTACTCGCGAGTAGCGTCTGCGTCGCAGCGCTTATACGTATACAGAAACGACGCAGCGAATTTCAATTCAGTCTGCTTTCAGTTTTCATGAGAGTGACACCACGCTTCGCTGTTGAATATTTTTATTCGTAATTTCAGCGCGTTGTTGCCACCTATATATGTAACAATGCCCAAAATGGCTGCGTATGAGTGCCAATTACAATTTTCGGTTTTAAGAAAAGCCAATAATGCCCAATGCTTGTTATGTGGTAATACGACTACTTGGAATCGTTCTTTTAATATAAGGCGACATTATTTGTCATGGTAAAAAAGTCAAACTGCCGAACTGTGTAAATCAATTTAAAGTTTTTTGTAATGGGTTTTATGTATATATGTATGTACGATACGGCAATTTAATATATTTAGTATACTTTATTGAATACTGAGTTTTTTACAAAGTTTAGAAACTTTAAATTCGTGAATTTTGTTGTTGAATAAACTATCATTTTTTAAAACATTAGTTTAATGAAATTAAATTAAAAAACTTTTCATGCACGTACATATGTACTTATAAAAATTAATTTCATAATTCATTATTTGAAATTATTTCTTCATTATTTTTTTATTATATTTTATTATTTTCGTTTCATGTTCGTAATACAAATTAAATATAAATTTGTAAGAGCGTTTTATAACACGCGCAAAAAACGACGCACTTTTGTACAATATAGAAAAGTGGCAACTGTTACTCAGCGCGATTCACGAATACCATGACAAAATGAGACTGTATTGGTGTGCCCATCTATGGTTTAGGCACATACTTTTCAAATAATCTATGTACAGTAAAACTAAAATGTGCAACACATTGCTCAACTTTTTCTTTGTATATAGGCCACGACAATTTAGACAATTCTTTATTCAGTTTTTTAAAGTTGGCTTTCGAAAAATCAAAGCGAATATTTGGTTCGTATGTTTGGACATCGCAATTTTGACCATCGTTTATAATTTCGTAAGATATCTCAATAGCAGGGTGGTACACATCTTCGGGCAAAACTAGTGGGTCACATTTATTTACAGCCGACTTAGATGCATCATCAACATAAACAAGATCTAATACTTTGCCAAACTTATTGCGAAGTACATTAACTTGATTCAGGCAGAGTTCAGCCATCTCCTCTAAAAGTACGTTATTGCACGCGCTAGACGAGAAAGGTACAATATGTCAATGATCTTCCATGATACATTTGGTAAATTAAAGTCACCCAACACAATCAATGAATCAGAGGGTTTAATCATTGAATTAATTGATTTCAGTAAAGATACATGTTGTGAATACACTGATAAGTCAGATCGGGGAGGAATATAGCATAGAGCTAAGTAAGTAAACCCCCTTCCAACCTGAACACGAATGCATTTGAATTCTGCAGATTCAATGTGTGGTAGACTAACTTCTTCAGATGATATTGAAGAGTCTACGGCAAAGAGTACGCCACCGCCGACTCTGTCCTCCCGATCTTTTCTGTAGATATGATAATTATTTGAAAGAATCTCTGAATTAAAAGTGTGAGGTTTGAGCCAAGTTTCAGTCAAAGAAATTATATTATAATTGCATTCAAGGCCATTAAGTTATAAATTCGTTAATTTAGTATTTATGCCTCATACGTTTTGATAATAAATACTTAAAGCAGATTTAGTAATCAGTTTTTTGGTTCTGTATTCTGACGGGGAATATTTGCTAAATTATTATTTTTGTTGGGCCTATACTCAAATTCACGAACGAAAGCTCCGGAGGGCCAAAAAGAACTACTAAGCAGCATGTCAAAATTTTCTAAATTTACGTCTATTTTAAATGAAGAAATATTTCTTTCATATTTAAAATTAAATTTTCTGATACTTAAGTTGACAGTTTTAACTTTGGACGAGATGTAAAACTTTATATCGTCCTCGGAAGTATCCCTCGAAAATCTAGATACAAATATAGACTTCTTTGGGGGAACCACAACCAGTCTCCTAGTATTAGACTCGATTACCGGCGGACGGGGTTGAGTAACTGAGTTACTAATTGAGGGTAGAGTAAGCGTTGGAAGATTAGATGGCGGTGCCACAACTTCAACGGGGGAAGGGGAAGATACTGCAGGGTCGTTATTATTAGAAGCAGACTTTGATATGTGTTCTTTTGAGGAAGATAACTCCGTTGTCTGTGGACATGGAGAAGAAAGATTAATTAAGTCATTCGGAAGATTGTTCTGACGTGGAACGGTCCTTTCATTAGGCGGACTATGAAGACGCTTACGTTTTGACACATGAATGTCCTTCATAGACTGTACGGTATCTAAGCATTTAAAAGATTTAAATACATTTTCATAATGTTTAAATTTTTCGGTCAGTACCGACAACTCTCTCCCTACCTCAGAAAACCCATTTCTGGTTTGCCTAAACAACTTAAAGAGATCAACTTTGGTTGACCTGCACTTTAAGCAAGACCAGCGAAGACCTTTGCCATCATTAATAGCGTCCAGAATTCTTCCTGTCAAACCAGCACATTTTAGATGGCAAATACCATCACAGAGCCAGCACGATAAGTAGCGTCCAGATTCGCTTTTAATTTGGCAGTTATCAAGATCACACTTCATATGGAAAGATTTAATAACACTTATGTTAATAAAAAGACAAGCAAAATAAGTTTAACACAACACACACAACAATTTAGGAGCTGATGTATTTAGCTTAAAAATATATGTCGCGAACAGTTTGAGTATCACTGTATTGTGACACTTAATAAACGCAGCGCAAACAGCTGTGACAAGAAATA